ATTTGAATTTGTAATTTTCAATTTCTGATGCATGTTAACATTATTTTAACTCTTGTTTACATTGCATTTCAATATCCTGTGAACTGCATATCCTTTTTAATATAAATAAACTGAGGTTTAACTGTATAGTCTACAGGAAGTATCTATACATCCTTACACCATTCATCAAATGCATCAGAAAGTTCTCTTAGAAATATTTCCTGCTTTTTAGAATGGTTTTACTGAAGACAAAGAAAATTTATGTTTACTCCGGTTAGGAAGCAACTTTCTGTAATTTGATACTGCTTAACACTAGATGGCAGGATAAGACTACAGATAACCAACTACTAACCACTAAGTAGAAAAAGGACCCTACTTTTCTTCCAAGGTGTTAAGACTTCTGTACATATACATATTGCATCAATCTTAATACATATATCACATATTATAGAACACCACTTTATATTTTAAGTCTTTCTATATGATAAAAGATATTTCACAATACAAACTAATTTTTAAGAAGTTAGAAAAAAAATATGAACTGTAAAAACGTTTACAAGTAAATACCATGACAATATAAAATTTAAAAAATAATATTAGAAGGCTGTTGATGCTGCTTTGCAATTCAGAACTTAATGGTTGAACTGTTTAAGCAAAGTATGGAAATTTGTCATTCCATTAAATGCGATTTAGATCAAGATTCCTGAGTTCACATATAAACAAACCTTTATTTTCACATTGAACAATGATATTCTATAATTAAAAAGAATTTTACAATAAATTCACGCTACATGCATATCCAAAAATTAAAAACCCATGTTTTTCAATGTCAACTAAACTATTCTTGAAGTAGGAAGAATCATTTTAAACTCATCTGGCAAAGGAGTTCAAGGGTTTTCCAAATGAATCTCTCTCACTCAGTATTTATGGACCACTTGACAATGTAGCATGGATGATTATGGGAAGAGTGACCCCATGTAATTTTTCATCAATACTTGGACATATTAAAGTTAGAAGTAAAAAATTAACACACTTGAGAAAACTGAGAAATATGAATATGCATTAAAGGTTGTTCATCCTCAGGAAGCTCATTTTGTATTATTATTATTTAAAGGAAGAATTTATAGTTTGGTGGTGTTTAAAAATCTATCTTTAGATAGTCTATGACATATTTCAGTTCTACCCTTTATTTAGCAATAGTTTAATTTATCTAGCAATAGTTACCATCTAACATGTAAATTGAATATCTGTAGTAATTCATAAAATTGACAAATACTGGTAAATTGTTTTCATATTATTTAATCCTCTTTAGGAACACACTATAACATGCTAAAAGAAAAACTGTAATATGCAAGTTAATATTTTACTTATAAACACAAATTTGTATAATTTTATACTACTGCCAAATCCTTATTCATAGCAACTTTTTAAAAAATACAATATTCATTCAAATAAGTCATGTGCACAACTGAAGTGAAAATCAGTCCTATGGTTCTAGTAGTAACAACAATCTATCCATGCTCAATAACCCAGTCATGGGATCCACAATCTTTTCGTAGATGTATTTTATATTGCTTTGCTTCAACATATAATATAAAATGCTAACAACAACGTATAGGTAAAATAATAAAGGGCCGATTGACCCATTTTTGGTATAGATTTCTAATATAAAGATAATTGCATTTATTTGCTTCTCCTCTGCTTGTTGGCACACTTTCAGCAGGATACACAAAATTTGTTGGATTACTATGAAGTTTGTGAGCCTTTCATAGGACCTTAAATGTAGTACACATCCTGATTGTAGGATGCTGAAATGGCCCAGTGTGACTGTTCATCATATATGCCATTCTTCACTTACACATCATTCCTCCTGTCGACACTGGATTCAATGACAGTGCTCGGCCTGGTTTTAAAGGTTTATTTATTTTTATTACAAAGTCGGATATACAGAGAGGAGGAGAGACAGAGAGGAAGATCTTCCGTCCGATGATACACTCCTCAAGTGACCACAACGGCCAGTGCTACGTCCGCCTGGTTTTACCTACAGGTTGTTGGCAGCCTCAATTGCCAATTGCTGAGAATTTGGCACTTGATTCCTTGAGTGCTAGTCAATTTGTGCTTTTAATGACTAGGTAGTAAACAGCCTACACAGCACCCAGCTCAAAATGAGGCTGAATTGTTACTTTCTAAATTATTAATTTTAAAGATCTACTTATTTGAAAGGTTGGTAGAGAGATAGCAAAACAGAAAGATCTTCTATCCATTGATTCACTCACAGATGGCTGCAGTGGCCAGAGATTCCCATTCTGGGTCAGGTGGAATCTAGAGCCTTAAACACTTGGGTCATCCTCTGCTGCTTACCCAGGCTATTAGCAGAGATCTGCATTGAAAGTGGAACAGTTGGGACACACACTGACAGCACCCATTTGGGATGCCAGAGTTGCAGGCAGTAAATTCACCCACTAAATAATAAGGCTGGGACTCACTACTTATTAAATTGTTTTCCATGTTTAATGGGGAAAGACTACATCATATATGTCATATGCGTTTTGATCATATGTAAGATTGAATTAACATATTAATGCAACAGTGATTGAGAAATACCCTGATGATTAATGAAAGACTCTTAATTTAGTTCTGATGCAGTTTCCAAAATATTTGTTCTCATGTTTATTTTTATATTACAGAAGTTTCCATGATCTATCTTTTCAATTATCTTTGTATAACTTGGTATGAGTAGAACAACTTCCTGGAAGTCTTCCTAACATTTATTTATTCTGGAATTTGTAAAAAAAAAAAAAAAAAGGCAGCTCTCAACAATGTGATTACTAAGATACAGTTTTCCAGTTATTTCTAGATAAAGCTTACAGGTGCTGTTGACAAAAATTATCATATGCTCTTCTTGGATTGCAAGCATGGCTTTATATGCCTAATTAATAATTTAAGAGTAGGTACAGTAATTTCCATTAATTTCCCACTTAATATAGCACTTTCTTTTGAGTAGAGCAGAGAGAACACTGGCAAAAGCTTAGGACATAACTTCAAAGAATGAATTTTTCCCTTTACTGGACTTTATTCTTATTACGTAAACAAAATCAGTAAATTATCAGAAAACAAACTCTTAACTTGCAAACTTAGTGGAACAGATTTAGATCTTTCTGACTTAAAATTCAAATGATGTACACCAATCTCTTTGTAGAGGTCAGGCATTGCAGTCCACCTGTGAGAGGTGCTATTACCATTCGAGTATTAAAACCTAAATATTTGACTTTGTTCTGAATGTTAAGATAGGAACACCTAACTTTGTCAAGGTCATACCAGAACATATTAGAATTAAGTCTAGAATTTCTCATCCCAGAGCTTTCTATTTGTTGGTGGTTTTCCCAGCAGTGCACGAGCTCCACATCAGTACCCAGAAAAGCTTTCATCTAAGAATACACTTGTCGGACTTCAGAGTGAAGGCTCATTTTTGTGGACCCAGAAATAATTTGCAACTTTGACTTTCCTTTCCATGAACAGAAGGAAGCTGCTCAAAAGAAACAAAAGCTCAGTGCCCAACCAAACAAATGTTAGAAATAAATGTAAATAAATAAATAGGTACAAAATGCTACAACTCCTGTGATTGTTTTCTAATCTCACAATGACCACAATGGTGTAACGTACTTTTCTACAATTATAAGCAGTAGAGATTATCAGTCATTCTCCTTTTACAGGCATCTTTTATTGCACTTGATCTTTCCATGTTGGGAAGCACATTTCTTCAGAAACGATATCCCCTATTGTATGATGCCTTTTCTTCTACTGTTAGTCTACAAATACTTTAGATATGTTACTCTAATCTTGAACTGTGTATTTTAACTATCTACATTTCTGATTTCACTTAAATAATAATGGAATGGTCTTCATAGCAACTTAACTGTCTCTAAATGGTATAAAAATATTGATTCAAAATCTGAGGAAAAAAATTATTTTAAATGATTTCATCCATCATTTGTAGTTTATGGAAAATTGATGCCCCAAATAGAATAAATGACTGTTAATATAACTTGGGTTTTAGGAATTATAATTATTATTTTGTCTCACATACTTTCTTAGTTATGCAAAATGACAAATACATTAGAAACTTAAAATTTGTTTCCTGATCATACATCCAATGGTGTGCTAAACATTCAGGATAAAGTTACATTTCAGGGTAAATTCTCTTTTTTCAAATTAAAGTCTGTAACATATTTTATTGTATTTCATTATGTATCTATAATATATGCATTCTTTCTTAAAGGTTTTTGAGGTAAAAACTTTATAATTTTCATTTTGTATGTGTAATGTACACCAAATATTTTGAAGCGTAATTATTTTAAAAATTAGAAATTTTTTGAAAACATTATTTTCTTAAACTTATATACTTACAAATATCTATTAAAAAAATACCCTACAGCCACACATACACACATAATTTTGTCATGAGCAAAGTTAAAAATGTTTAGGAAACCATTTCATAATGGTTTTTGATCTAATTGTGGAAACCTGATTGAGGAACAGCATTGAATTATCAGAGCTCAAAATCAATGAGTCATTTGGCAGAATTAATTATGTTGAATGCAGTTGCTTTTTCCATGCTTACTTGTGAAGAAAGAAGGTGCTAGATAAAAACTTGCTAGAGGCTTTGTAAACTGTAATTCGGCACACACACACACACACACATACTCACGTGCCTGCACCCACACACACACGGATACATAACTCTTTTATTTGAACAGAACTTTGTATTCAGATTTTCTTCCAATCACAGGCAGCACTGCTTGGCAAGTTCTAACAGAACTCAGTCAAGGTAAAAGCCAGCCAGCGTTTGCTAGTAACAATATATTCATCCAGCATATGATCTCTGTTCAGGCTGCTTCTTGCTCTTGTGTCAGAAAGGAGTGAAAGAAAGGAGTGCTGCTCTATTTGAGAAAGAAAGTAACCTAACACTAACTGCAGGCGGGGTCAGAGTGATGTAACAGGAAGCTCTGATGTTTCCCTCCTGCTGCTGATCACTTACAATCTGACAACACGTCCAATCCACTCAGTACAACCCTTCTCTCTCCAGCAGTGTCAACTCCTGCTTTAGGACTTGCCAGCTCTGCTAACTGGACCTCACACTGCCTGCAGGAGCACATTGCAAGGCTTTCTCTCTTCCCCACCTTGCCTGAGGGAACGGAGGGAGAGTGCAGATCTCTTCTGGGGAAACTCAGAATATCAAATTCCATCCTAAGATTGTTTCATCAGGAATTTCCTTAGAAGCTGTGCTGGGTAAGTACATTATTCAAAATAAATATGTTTGTTTTGGGTGGTACTCTCATGCGGTCTAACAATAATTCTAGTATGGAACTTCAGCAAGTGGAACTGAAATATAATGTTGGAACCATCTCATGGGTTTCACATGTTAGAGGAACTAACTATACAGCCTGTTCCTCCTTCCTTCCCGAAATGCATGCAAAAATTCATTACTCCTGGAAGATACTGTTTACGGTGGTGTTCTGGAAACTAAATTTAACAAGTAATAAAAAGTTAAAGGCATCTTAAAACTTGAAAGCCCTATTTCTGAGGAAATACCTTAATCAGAGAACAATGCCTTTTAAAATTAGCTCTACTACTAAGCTAAGCTTTAATCTTGACAGCTGAAAAACATTTTCCCTCCCTCAGGAAAGGTTTTACTTTTTAAACTTCCATATAATCAGTATTCTAAGAAAGGGGTGAAAGAATAACCTCTCACTGGGGTCTCAGAGTCTCACGCTCCCGTACAAAAGAAAGCGAACAACTTTGGACTTATTATATTTGTGTTCATTGTATTTGCTTCTATTTGCCTTTCACATCTATTTAGATGCATATCTCTAAACTAATGGAATCCTCATTGTTTTACTGTCTGTAGCAGCCAGATATAGTTAAATCTTTTATGACCCCCGAAATGTTTCCACTGATTTTGTATCATAGAGTGGAGTACAAAAAATAATAATGATGATGGTAAAATAAAATAAAAGCAACAAAAAACCTAGAGTTTAAAAAAAGGATAAATTTTGACATTATTCTCATTTTCAGGAATGTTTAGCTGAGACATTGTGTTTCTTCAACTTGATAGTCTTCCTGGCAAGTGTTTGGGGAAGAGTATCATACAGACTCTGTGAATAAATAAATGCAACAGAACTTTCCCAAATGAGTATATTAGATCATGAAGCAGAAATTAAAGTATGTATAAAAACAGAATAAAAACAGAATAAAGCTCACTGAAATGTTGAGATGAAACATCTGTAAATGCTCTTTCCAACCGTACAGACTGTTCTGGATAATTAGAAAAAAAAAATCAGACTCTACTTAGCAAGGTTTGGTATAGGAATATCATACCCCCGTTGCTAAAGAAATTTGGATGTCAAATCCAGGTCAAAATGACCAAATCATGATGATTGGCTTAACTTTTTACAAATGATTTTCTTACTAAAAGAAATTACTCTCTGTGAACTATTCTTCAATGGAAGAACCATGGGCTTAATCACTCAAAAATTGGCCCATCAACAGTAGACTCACACACCAGCTTTGAGCAATTATTGACTTAGTTTTTCCACAAATTTCTTGATGTAATGAAATTTGTGATTCTTTAAAAGTATGTTAGCATATTTCTATGTTGTTAGATTTTGAATTGCAGTATAGATATGCGAAACGTTCTGAGAATTCAAATTTGTGAATAGTCTTTAGCTAATTTGGGAAGAAATGGAAACAGAATTAAATGATTAATGCCACAAATTAGCATCAGAAATTTAAATAACAATATTTTACATTCAGTTTATTTTCATGGAATTATCATATTAATATCATGTTTATAAGTGATTTCAACTTTTCTACTTTTTATTTCATTGCTAACCTCAAGCTCATAATTTTGTTACATAGTTTGGTTAAATATCCATGCCCATTCTAATAGCATGGTCGTCAAGCTTTGAAACACTAGGCAATGAAAACTGAGGGTCATCAGGCAAAGACATTATTTCAGTAAATAACTGGGAATTTGAAATTGTAATTCATATTATTCCTTGCTTTCTATTAGGGGGACATGTGAAATTAATGCTTGCTTTTAGTTATAAAGATATTAATTTACATTTTAGATGATGTTTCCCTGCATCATAAAGCCAGTGTTTAATTTAAGACCAATCCTAAAGACGTAAAATGAAACATGGAAGAGAAATTGTATGAATAATTTGAGCACAAAAGGTTTATTTTTTATACTCTACTTCTTAATGGGATATGGTTTAAGTTATTGTTAGATATTTTTTTCTTAAATATATTACCAAGTTCCAAAGAAGTATCTTGTAAGTTAATGTAGATTTTCATCACATGTAAAACAATTCATTTACCTTGAAAGAAAATGGAATTCAAAGAAGTGAAAATCATTACACTGGGTCTATAATTTTATAAATTATGCTAAATGAGTAGATCAGTGGTTGTACTTTATTCACTGGTGATTCCTAGCATCTTATGCAATTTAAGTGGAATTAGCGTCTGTCACATTGATGAGAACATTTAATAGTTCATTGTATATGTCCTACCGTTATATCCATGCATTACAAACACATTCCAGTAAAAAATTCAAAACTACTATCATAAACAAATATCTTCCCTACTCTATCTTCATTTGGAAACATTATTTGATGAACACATTAAACACAAACTGAGCTTAAGTTGACATCATTATTATATAGTAACAAATCATAATTGGAATCTTAACTATTATTCTCAACTTTATCTATTTAGCTACAATTTTAGATTATTTTATATAGAGATACTTAAATAAAGGATTCAAATATGTATTTGCGAACAATATTTCTTACATTTTATATATGACTTAAAAATATAGTTTAAGTTATTCTCATTTTAGTCTGTAATGATATTGTTTTCAGACAAAATTGAAATCCTTAGATCTATTCTTACTGTAGCTATATTTATACAATTGAGTCAGTTAACTCTTAGAGGTAAGTTGTATCATCCCACTCAAATTTTGAATTGTATTTCAAAAATACAAAAAAAGAATACCTGAGTAGTAGATGGCAAAAATATATTTGTGTTTTGGTTTAAGATGATTTATTTTGCCTTGTAGTATTTCATGAATTCTTACATGCATTGAGAATGTAAGACTTCAATCCTGAAGACATGTATTTTCTATATCATTGTACAAGCTTCATTGTGCGCCTCTTTTCCATGAATTCCTTAATGACTCATAGACTCTCAGTGTAGGAACTTGTATTCCAATTTTATTTACATGTAACTTACTTTAGTAGTGAGTTAAATTGTGTGTATGTATTTTAAGTCATTCAGAAACTTCTATACATCATCTAGTAAAAGACATTAATAAAAATCTCAACTATGGACAATAGAAAGAAAATCATTTTTGTAAAATAGCAGGCATGACTCTAAACAAAAGCAATATAATTGTTGTAATTTACAATTGATAAATGCCCATGTCCCTTTCTACACCCTTCCTCCTGCACTAAATTCTCTCACCTTCATCTGTCTAATCCTAATTTTTCTCCAAATGAAATGCCCTGTAACCATCTTCTGTACTCAGGTAATGATTTTGTGTTTTTCTATAAGTCATCAATAGAAGGCTTTCAAGAATTGCTATTTTTGCAACCAAATTAAAATCTGTCACCACTATAGTTATTTTATTTGAGAAGAATTCTTTCTGATTTCTGTTCATGTCATAATTTCATCTTGTCTAGAACACCTTTGTTCTAAAACTTGACATAACATAGCTATTTTCATTAGGTGATACTAAGATTAAACAGCACAACTCACATTTTAATAAGCATTTATCATTGTCAGGTTAAATCCTAAGTGTTTAAAGTGAGGAAGTCAAAAGAACCACTGCTCTGGACAACATCACCTCTACCTCAATCAATACAGTTGGCTGACACATTGTTTTTCATTTTGTTAAAGAGATCAGAGCTCACTGTGTTAATCACAGCATTTACCAAAATTATAAAACTTGAAAATATAAATACTCATTATTTTAGGATACCTGGGATTATAGGCATAAAAACCCCAAAAATATGAAACCAAGGGCAAAGTTATCCTAAATTGATTTTGTTCATAACGAAAGCGTCTTTTTGTATTGCTTCTATTAAGACTTTGATTTTTCATATGTTAACACAAAGAATTTTCTTGAATTTAATTCTGATATAAATGTCATGACTATATGACAGAAATTGTTAATTTTCAAGCAAAATGAATGTGATTAAAGATAACATTCTTAAGAATGTAATTTTAAAGAATGTTTGGCCTTATTAATTTGTACATGAATTCCTTTAAATGACATGAGTATATATTGAGAACTAGAATAATCTGAAAGAGTGAATCCATAATATGAAATTCCCAAATAATATTTGAATTTTTAATGAATTTTTCCTCACATTAAGTAATCTCCTTAATCAGGCACTATCAAAAATAATTTCCTGTGCTATGCTCCATGTTACCTGTATAGAAATTAATAGTTTATGTCATTTTGATCACAAAATTAATATATGTCTACATTTAATCAAGTGAATCCCATCTAGCCTCATTAATACAAAATAAATATAAGAAAAATTATCAGAGTATGTATTTGAGGTTCATTATAGCTTATCTTTAACAACATTCAGTTAATGTATAATATTTCTGTTGAGTTGTATTCAAAAGCTGTTTATTTACCAAGCTCTCAAATGTTAACTCTAGTACCATAAAGGACTGCAAGTTTCAAACCTTTGATGTTAGATGTAGCTTCCATGCCTAGGAGACTGGCAAATTTATATAAACCTAGTTAATGGATACTAACTTAGAAATAGTTAACTGCAGCTCAGTGTGTCCTCAGAGGGTTACATTAATTCTGGCTATGAAGTAGGTCTTGGATTGGCACATACTTGAAAAACAATTAGAAGATGTTAGAACTTTAGACTTAGATAACAATCTGCTCCTAATTACTCAGAATAGTTTAGAGTTTAAGGATTGTTCTACATCCTGGCCTACAATTTCCTTTCAGAAATAATTACATGATGTCATAATCATGGGAGGGAAACAGTGTTTAAAAATATAAAATATAAACTTTTCAATGTGAACATCAATCACAGAGATTTGAATTAGAAACTGGAATGACACTGAAGTTGTAATAAATCAAGAAGATCACTGTGTAATGGATTACTGACAGATGATTATAATATCAAGCAATACTTATTTGAATAAAGTAGATGAGTAAACTTTCAGGTTTATCAAGTTTGCTTTCCTTTACAGCTCAT